TAGGTAGGGTTGCCATAATAAAATTTTCAAAACTAGAACTTATAGCTCAGAAACCCCGGACATTTCGCTTGCAACCCCGGACGTATACAAAAATGCGAATAGGTTAGCAAGTTGCTTATAACTTATAACAATAAATTAATAATTATTTTAGATCTCATTTTCATTAGTACTTAGAGTAAAAGGAATAAATTTAACATGTTTTTAATTTAAAAGAAGTTTTATTATTAGATTCACGCATAAAAATAAAAAAACAAATGGTTGATAACTTCAATTGTATTGAAGTGATTGAATATGATGTGGTTAATTAAATCTAAAAAGCAGAATATTTATGAATATTCTTAAACCCCAGACATTCATAATTACCCCGGACACATTCGAAAAATCCCCCCGGACGTCCCCGGATGCCCTAAAAAAGAGGACGGTGTCCGGGAAAAAGAGGACGTATGGCAACCCTAAGCGCGACTTATGTCGTTGCATAAACGCGAGTGAATGCGAGGAATGCGCTTCGTTGACAGTCTGAGATTTTTGAGTCTTGAGATAAGACTCAATATTGAAAGATAAATACGTCGCAAAATATTTTGCGAAGCTGGTTTCAAGACCATAAAAAATCTGATATATTTAATCTCGATTTACTTATACTATATTCTTATATTAAGTTCATCAAGGAAAACTAAAAAACAAAATCGCTAAGTTCATATTAATAGTAAAACGCTAAAACGCTAAAAGTTACATCGTTCTTAAGCGTATGTTCTTTTTTCTTCTATCGCTTTTTTTCAGCGCAACTTGCTCCCACCATTCCTAATTAGAAGATAATGATCTTCATTAAAAGTTTCGTCTTCTCGACAATCAAGATTCGGCGGCGAAGATATGGCGTCAGAAAGTAAACTGACTTTGATAAACAAAATCTAAAAAAAAAAAAAAAAAAAAAAAAAAAAAAAAAAAATAGAAAAATTATTTAAAAACCTGTTTATCCGCGAAACTGCTCGAATTTATCATAAAATTTTCATTTTCGGTACGGCTTTTCGATTTTGTAAATGTATGTAGGGACGCGAGGGTTTGCGTGGGTGTGTTTTCTCTCGTCGAGTCTCGTGTCCATCGATTCCCCGCAAATTTATTCTATTTGCGCACGACGATGCATGTTCGTCGAATCGATGCAATCTCATCGTTCGATCAAGAATCTTTCTTATTTAATCGCAAAATCGTCGCGGCATCACGCTTTTTAACGAGGCGCCAATATTTAAGACCAAAATTATAAGGTCGGTAGGTGTGGACTACCGATCGATTTTCCCCCCACATTCCGCCTTTTTTTTTTCTCCTCTTCTCGTCCACACTTTAAAACACTTCGTCTTTGCTGCGCCTTTCGTCGCTCGCGCTTATATTCCAGACAACGTACAAGGTGTCTGCACTTTACGACGAGGACTTTATTAGCATTTTATGGCATGTATCACGCCACGCGAGCATCGATGTTGGCGCCATACCTTTTTGTAATATTGAGAATGCGAGAGAAGAAGAAAAAGAGAAGAATGAAAGGTCGCTCGATATATGGAGCAGTCATACAAGTCACTTTTTTCGAAAGATAAGTTTCTCTCTTAGAAGAGCGGATGGTCTCTCGTATCGTGCATAATTCTATAATAATCCAGATATGCGTGATTTTTCGGATATAAATCTGCAAAAGTACTATATATCTTTGCGTCAAAATAATTAACTAATTTGTTATACGGAAATTTATTATACGGAATGTATGCCTCGTAGAATAGAATACCTATATTATATGACAATGTTTGCATGAAATTATTATTTAATTAGCCACGTACGAGCGTGAAGCTTCTCTTTCGATTAATACACGGGGCCCATTCTTCCGGCAATATCCGCTCTTC